AGAGAAAGCCCTGACTCCCCATCCTTGTTTTGAATAGGCTTCAAGATTGATATCGGGAGTATCCCTGGATAGCTTGTGAAGTACCATAACCTTGTAAGCTGCATGGAGGGTGAGGCAGATGTAATTTGGCCCATCTCAAATAAAACAATTTGTTATTCAGAACAACAACAACAACATTAAGGAAGAATTTTGCAGCACCTCTGTGCAAAAAAACTATTGAAGAATAGCCCTGGAAAGGTCTGCTTCTGGACTGTGAACTGTATGATCGAGTGTATCATGATATAAAACATTGGATTATTGCTTACTTATCCCTCCTGTGTTTGGAAGTTTAATGTCTCTTTCAAAGGGAGGCTTACGCAGTCACATTTTAAATACTTAGCGCAGAAATTCAAAAAAGTCTGTTGCCTTTTGTGTTCTCTTAATTTTCTGTTCTCAGGCAGAAGTCCATGTTTCTGAATGGTACAGGTGGGTTTGCCTGTTACTGTTAAAGCACTGGAAGTCTCACAAGCCAAAAGCAAACCATCAAGAACAGAAAGTGGTTTAAGTTACAAGAGATTGATGAAGTTTTGGGGAGATGGTATGATCACACAGAGAACGTCTATGTTTTCTGGAACTGGAGTTTTCTCTCTCCAGCTACTGAGGCACTGGATGTCAGTGTTTTGGCAAAACCTTCAAACCCGTGCTGCTCCTTACTTAGCCTGATTTTTTAAAAATTCCAGATTGTATGCAGAATCTTTCTGAGAAACATTTTAGGACTGCATGGCATGTTCAGGGTGTGTTCCAGCAATGACAAGTGAATTTTGAAATACTGACATGAAGAAGAGCAGCTTTATTTGACTGTGTGAGGAACAGCCCTTGAAAGAGCACAGCGAACAGTGCATCACAAGTAAAAAGGTAATCCCAAACAGAAATTCCTGGAGAGAATACTAAGCTGTAAATGGCTGATTTGTTCCTTGGGTTAAACCCTGGCCCCATGGAAGTCCATGGCTAAATTGTTGTTAACTTTGACAGAGCCGATACACCACCTTCTTTGTTTCAGTTTTAAGAAGGTGAATCCTTTTGACATGTATCTTTTATGGGCAAAAAGGAACAACAGTTGTCCAAGGTCAGCTCCCTAAGTTCTACCAAAAACACCAAGGAAGGAAAAGGGAAACAACTATTTTTCATTCAGGAGGCACAAACTGTGCAAGATTCAGCAGAAGCAAGAATGAATGATAACGCAGCCTCCCTAAATCCTCCTCATTTTGAACAGGGCGTGTGTGTGAACATGGCAAACTAACAGACTTCTCAGAACAGGACTCTTGTTACTAAAAGCAGAAAATGCCAGGGTATAATTCTTCATGATATCCAAAACCAACAAGAGATTGTGTGATCCAGAAGAGCTGACACAACTCATTGCTCATGCAGTAGGTAGACATTGTGTCTACATCATGCATTGACATTCATCTCACTTCGGAAATGAAAGGAGAATCCTGGTGAGTAAATTAGAATCAGTGGTAATACAGCTGTTAGCTACAAACATTTGTTTGGCATGCATCAGTCTCGACTCTCCTGTAGTTTGCTTTGATGGTCCCTCTATTATCTTGTTGACTAATGATGAGATCATGGTTTGTTAATCTAAGTGCATAAAGAAAACATTCTGCCAAGCAAAACGCAGACTCTTTTGCTGGGGTTTATTGCACTTGTTTATAGACCTCTTGTTTACACAGGCATCCAAACCAATTTGTTGGATATTTATTTGTGTTACTCTACAGAACTGCATGAACACAGACCTGAATCCTGTCTTCAATCTGTCTGCATTTTAATGGGCCATAGTTTGAACAAAGCGGAAGCTGGCCACTTAGGGTACATTTCTTGTTGGCCAGGGCTTCAAATGTTTTGTGTGCTATCTAATTCTTATCTTGAGAGCGTTTAACAACTGGAGAGCAGTGTAAGCCGCTCTGATTTGGATTTAGTTTGAACAGAAGTTATTAGAACTCATCAAATGTTTGCAACAAGCAAAATACCATTTTTTTCATCCAGCTAGTGCTTTAAAGCATATCTTTTTAAATGCGTAACTTCTTCCTCTCCATAATAATGTCTGATCTTAAGCCCAGAACATACGGCACCCAATTGTTCCATGTGCACCAGGAACTTCTGGGTGCCCAATTCCCATTCAAACGGAGCACACATACACAGACGTGGCCAGACAGCTCACAGCGGTCAAAACGGCTGCATCTGCAAAGCCTGTAACTGAAGTCACAGATTTGAGTGGAAATAAAGGCAAAAGGAGAGTAAAGCAGCTTCTGATGGCTGCTTTTCTCTGCTACTTGAAGGCCTCTCACCTTTGCTGCTCAGCAAAATCTTTCAGAAAATGAGGCAATATGAAGATGAAGAACCTCTGCATTTCTGACAGGTGTAAAAATTGTCCCCTCATCAGCACTTGTCTTGGACATAAATAAGGTCCACTGTTCATTTAACTGGGGAAGAGGAGAGACTTGTATAACCTCTCCTGTACTTCTGAACTTTGCAGCCCAACAGCAGACACATGGGTAAGCCAGACATCTTGACTCTGGATCCGTTCTTAAGCTCAGAAAATAGGAATGACTGAGTTTTATTTTAATAAATTGTTGCTAGCAGTTTTTTTCCAAGGAACTCAAATAGACAGGAATAAATGGGCCAGTGAAGAGGCTGAGGCAGAGAGGGGCTGGGTAAAACGAAAAGTTTAGTGACCAACTGGGATAGTGTGGGAGATAGCTGAGCTTTACAGAATCACTTCCTGGTGAGTGCAAGTTTCACCTTACAGCTAGCAACCAGAAAGATCAAGGAGAAATACAGTAAGATGTCATGATATATTTAAATTGATTATGAGCTTTCAAGGGAAGGTAGGAAAGGGATAAGAGCAAGTGCTGACACGGTCAGACTGGCTGGAAGAAAGATTGGTTTGGGCAGTTTAAGTTTCATCTGATTGTGGAAAATGAGGGAAAAAGCACGTCAGTGAAGCCTGGGAGGAGAGTGCCGTAATTAAGGAGGAACGTGGATTAGCCCTGGTTCACTAAAAACGGCACAGTAAAAATAAACACTTTTCTTAAAATGCCTGTACCAAACAAGCTGCTGAAGAGCATGAACCAAAGCAAGCAGAGAAGCCAAGAAAGCTGCTAGAATCTAAGGTGGCACAATATTTTTAGGCTTGCTTTCATACTTGGTATGATTTTCTTCCTTTCAGTGTGACAGTTGTCAAAGTGAAATTCATAGCCTGCCGGGTGGCTGCAGAACCCTTCCCAGTGAGCTGCAGAGGGAACGGTTTTGAGAGCCATGCACTAGGGGACTGGGTGATCCATGGGAGGGTGTTTCATAAGAAGCAGGCTAAGGGATGAAAGAACGTGCTGATTACTCTTAATGTGCATGAGCTAACCCGTAAAAAGAGGGGTCAGAAGGAGAAAGGGAGAGAAGTGGAATCAAACAGTGATGGTACCATAGAAAAAGGGGTTTTTGTGATTTTTCACGTATTATTTGGGGGAGGGCGTGTTAAAAATAAACAGTTGTACTTAAAACAATTTTCAAAGCACGTGAGAATCTAAGAAACACAAAGAAATGGAGAGTGCAAACTGGACCAGCATCACAAATTAGACATCAGTATCATAAATTAGAAGTCATTTATGTGTTGTCACTTATGTGTTGTCAGAAAAACCGGTGCTTCAGACATCTGAACTTGAAGAGCTTTGCTTTTGTACTAGCAGGTTTTATCATTAACTTGCTCAAGTTGAAAGTATTAACTGCCTTAATAGCACCTAGATGAAATGGGGGAATTTAAGTTAAAATGGCATTTATATTTCTGGTGGCTATCACAAATCACATCGCTGGAGTGCACAGTTGATATGCCTCAGACAAGACCAGAGAGACAAAATATTTCCATTATTATTTCATTAGAAATTGAAATCTGTTTCAGAGAAGTCCAAGACTCTGTAATACAGCTCCTATCACAGCGTTGTGTTTAAAATGTTACAATGTTGACTTGCTGTTACAAAAATTCAGTGTTACAGGAAATCAGAAACAATATGGAATAGTTTACACTAACTCTGCATTAAAACGTTCCATCTGTTCTTGCTTTAGGTTCTTAGAAAATTGCTTTTTCATCTCTGTAATGCTTTTCACTTCCTATTAGTAAGGCTTTTAAAGGTAGGCACTGAGTTAGTATAAAACCCACAGCTTTTGAGTTTAAACGCCTATTAAAACTAAAGCTGTCTGGAACTACAATAAAAATTTATTTTGGCTACAAAAGACAACTTTGAAACCTAACCCATCTGTATTTTTCCTCCTCCAAACAGTGCAACATCCTGTATAATAGAATATTTATCTTAAACAGAGACCACATATCTTTATGAAAACAATTGTTTCAACTTAATTTATGGGGGGTAATCAGCTCATATTAAAGTTGTCAATATTCCAGGATGCTAATATAAGTTGGTTACAGGAGATGTAACAACTAGAGTTAATTCCACAGAAGAATCTGAAAACTGATGTTGCCATTGACTTAGAATGTAACCTGTATATATTATATCTAAAATTGCCATAAAAAACTAAGGTACGGGCATATAGTAATTGTAGAACGACTGTGTGCGAGCAAATCAGGCATACAACTGCAGCTACATTTTACTGCTAGTTTAGGCTCATGTATGGTGACTTCCAAACTCGATTATGGGATAATTCCAACAAGATAATTTATTTGAAACAATTGAGCTGGTCTCTGCAGTCGCTGGGCCCACCAGGGAGATACCTCTACACATCTCGTAGGGCTGCTTGGTCAGTGAATTCATCAACTCAAATCAAAACCAAATTGACTCAGTGGTAAGAGTATCCCTGGGATGTATAAAGCCTCCCACTGCCTCGAGTGGGAGTCAAACATATCAAAGTGAGACTGGATCCCTGGGGTTTAGCTCACTCCATACAATAGTCTGTCAGATTTTGAACTGAAAAGGGCCGGGTGTAGCACTCCCTAAATATAACCAGTCCTGAAACTCCCACTGAGATTCCTTTCTGTCTGCCTTCAGACGATGTGATAAGACCCCTTCTCCTGTGACTTCAGTCTGGAGTACCTCTATCACCCCACCCCCCCAGCCCTGATAACAGCCAGCTTTGCACATATTTGAGAGCAAGGCACAATCTGAGTTTTGAGGGACTCACTACTCTTTCTGTAGATGTTCGTCTTCAGACCGACCCTCCTCTGTAACATCTGCATCGTAAACTCGTAGCAAGACATTTTGACATCCAGGAGACAACTGACTCCCTTCATCTTCTGGCCAGCTTCTTTCCATCATTTTGGGAACAGATACCTTGGGCAATCTCCTTTTCTCCCTGCACTCCTTCCTTTTTAGACCGCCTCCTCATGCTCAGTACACTTGAATGCAGCATCAAAGTCGAAGTACATTTGCTCCAATTTGCCCCCTTCCTCTCCCCTTTTCCCCAAGTACGCCAAGATACACATATTTTGGACGTTAAAGCAGCATTTACGTGTGCTGTGATATACGCGGGATGTTCTGCCTACTTGCATGTGATTCACATCCTCATAAGCCCACAGGAAATCCCAGCAATATTTTTCCAGGCATATCTCCTGTGCTGAGGTGCTGAGCACAGCAGGGGTGGAGGAAAGGAGCCATTTTTGCTTTGGAAGTACTGCGGTATGTAAGTTTAGCTGGGAAGGACACACCACTGTTATTTAGATGTAGCTCTTTTACTTGGTGACAGTGAGAAATGTAGCACAAAGACTTAATATTCTCTCCCTAAGTATTTACATTTTACAGTAACATATCTGGGAATCCTCTTACCTCAGTGGATCCAGTAAAAGCGATTTTATCAATGCCAACATGAGATGCTATCGCTGCACCAACGATTGGACCAAATCCTGGCAAAATATTAACAACTCCTGGTGGAAAGCCAGCCTGTCAAAATAGGAATGAATGAAGGGAAGCATGATTTATAAAAACCGACAGAGCACGTTAAACCAGACATGTGCTGGTAGTTCCTTCCCCACAAGGAGAGACAGAGACATTATTCCTGTCAATTATTCTTACCTCCTTGATGAGGGCTCCCATATAGAGAGCGCTGAGTGGTGTTTGTTCTGCTGGTTTAATAACTACTGTATTACCACAGCACAGAGCTGGAGCAATCTTCCATGCAAACATCAGCAGGGGGAAGTTCCACTGTAGGAAAAAATAAAAGTTGATAGATGGAAAAATATTGCAGTGGTGGTCTGTTTTCAAGATGTCAAGCCGCTACCTCACTTATTTCTCAGACTGATCCTCAACATAAATCTTTCCCAGCACAAAGCAAGGGTATTTTTTTTAATTACTGCCATTAAGAAAGTGACAACAGTGACCTTTTAGTTCCTTCTCTCATGTTCAAAGAGATACAGCTCCCACCCGCAGTCTTCATGAAAGAGTCTTCTGTTATCTGTTAATTTTTTTAGTCACAGCCTTTTATTTCATTTACTGTTTTGCAATTGGCACTTTTAATTCCCCCATGACAAATAGTTCTTGCTTCTCATACATTTGGAAAAAAAACCTGCTTGTTCATGCTGAAGCATCTCTGGGTGTAAATTTCCTATCCTTGACTACATCCTAGGATATAAAATTTATATTAAAAGTTATAATAATCCTCAATTGATGGGTTTACAGTAAAAAAAAACAACCTATAAATGTCAGTGCTCCATCAAAGCATTTAATATTCTTGAAAACGTCTTACTGAGCAATTAATATGGAAGATGTTAGCAGAACAGTAAAAAACGAGTTGAGAAACACTCTTTACTGATATGAAATTTTGTTTCATCATCAATTTCAGCTTCATTTACCTGGAGCAGATGACGTAGTGAATTATATTAGTTTGATGTACAAACAAATTGTGGATAAAGAGTAACAAGCCCTTCTGCATCAAGACCTGATCCTAACAGGTTAAGTGGGTAGTCCTGCTGATTTTAATGGAAATTCCAGAGTAATAAAATAACTGTGTTTGCACACTGTCTCTTCTAAATGCATACAATACTCTCCTTTGGAAAGAAAATAGAAAATACAAGTCACAAAAAGTCAGCCACTGGCCAGAACATGTTATTGCCTGATGCATATCAGCTGCCACTCTCACAGACATCTCTCTAGCCCCTGGCTAGCTTGAAAAAATACACAACTGTCTTTCCTTCACTGAACACCCAATTTTTTACTCCCTCAATTGTTTATAAACTCCGGAGACAAAGTGATGTTTTAATTCCATCTCTAGTACATAAACCTGGGAGGAGAGCTATAGGGCCAACAGTGTGCTGACAGCCTGCACTTCTAATGGCATTGCAAGGAGAGTCTGATGAGTTTTATAGGGCAGTATATAGCCCTGTTTATGCTACAGAGCTGCCAAAGCGCATATGTTTTGATGGAAGCTAGGATGTGAAAGAGGATGAGGAGTTTAGTGTTAGGATTACTGTTTCATTTTATTTTTGTAATCACATATTTTCTAGCACAATGGCTAAGTGCATGCAGAGGCCTAGCCTCTGTGACTGGTAGCTGTGGAGGAAATACGCAACAGATTGGCAGCAGTGTTAGAATAGATGCACGTGACAGCCATGCTGAAGTTTTGAAGGACAAACTTGGGGGAAGAAAGAACGAGTACGGTAGATGAGTGGGTACCCTGAACAAAGAGTTTTACAAATCTAAACTAAATAAATACTGCTCTTGGGATGACTTTCAGCCTGTGGCTAAGTTTTTTCAACAGATCTGTCAGTTAAGCTCAATGGGACAAGCCTAAGAGATGTCCAGCCACTTTGGGGTGAGATGTTGGGGTTGTCATTTTGCAAATGCTTTTGCAGTGCTTGGGTGAAGAATGGGGTTAGAGCTGTGGGATCATTCATTCACAAGGACCACTCCTGAGTCAAGTCAGGAGAGTATGTAGGTGTTTGCAGGGCAGGTGTCTGCAGGACGGGTGTAGCCACATACTCTTTGAGTTGTTTGCATGTTTCTCTACAGAGTGCCAAACACAATAGCCACCCCTTAACAAAGACATGAAGAAACAACAAATATAAATAGGGGGGAAAGGGCTTAACATCATTAAAGTAATCTTTTCTGGGTCTTCCTCTTTTAATGGAAATGCTGCATGTTGCTGTTTAGCAGCTTTGTGGCGAACGTGAACAAAAATAAAAAAAACATCAACAAAGTTTTCAGAGAGTGTCCTGATTAGTTCCCCAGTGTCAAGGATAAAAGCTTCCACACCATATTTTAAGAGCTATATGTGAGCCTCCCATTGAAGTTTCTGCCAAAGCCAGTTAACTGAAAAGTTAGCTTCTCACTGTAATTCCCAGGCAGTGTTCAGCAAGAGTATATTAAGGATGTATATTGGGGTGTAGGGGGAGTATAAGATTTGATGAAATGCTGTTTCTCTCTCATAACAAATAAACCAAACATTTCATGCTTTTTATTAGCTACACAATATTAATTGTATTGCTATGTCTCCTGGAGTTTCCTTTTCTCCTCTAGCCTTGTAAAAGAAATAGCAGGAAAGAATGGAATTAAAATGCATCGCATTCTCCCAGGAACTGAGGAGCCTGTTAAATCACAGTAAAAACTAAATAAATAAAAAGACTACCACAGCAAAGCATCAATTTTCCATAAGTTGTGTGAACATCCATAACCACTGACAGCATATTAACACTGTGTTTTGCTTTGCTTGTTTTAATCATGAGAATTCTATGACTTGAGAACTTAACTCCTAATAACAGAGCCTAAACCCTATTAGCATGTTCAAATAAGCATTTGCAGGGAGGCTGTTAAAGATATGTCAACAATATGAGATCAGCTTTTTTCGTAATGGAAAACACACATAGCTGAGGACCATGTTTTATGTGTCTTTAAAGAGAGCTGGTTCAAATGAAAATAAATAGAAAGTGCTAGCAGAGATACTCACAGGGATGATCTGTCCACACACTCCAATGGGTTCGTGTCTTGTAAACGTAAAATAATCTCCATCTGAAACAGATGAGCATGGTTACTCTAAAGTGCAGTTTGACTTGGCAGAACAAAAAAAAAATAGAGGGGGGGAGGAAGCTCTAAGGATCAGCCTTTGATGGCAGTAAAAGAAATAAAGAAGTCATGGAAATGTTTTTTCATGAGCCAGCATGGGAAACCTAGGTTCAGGAGCAACCTAATTGTTCTTTCTGTAGAACAAGGGAAACGGGCATCCCATCCCATCAGAAAGTAACCTGTTCTTTGGGGAAGAGGACACGCTCTACCACACAAAACAGAGCAGTAGCACGGAAGCCACTTACTGGCCTCTACCGATTTCAGGGTGAGAGAAGTGAAGGAAGAGTCACAAAGGCAATTTCCTGAAAGGTGTGATTGGAACACAGCAATATAAAGGTGTAGCAGGTATAGTTACAAGCAGATGTGGGCTAATAGATCTCACTCATCTCCACTGAAGACACGGGCAGTTGGCAGTAACGGAACGATATATCACAGTCTGTAGATGTGGAATGAAGAGGGGACGCCTGTGACTGATGTGTAAGTGAGCATAATTTACTGCAGAAGACAACAGTAAGGAGAATACAGGCATCATGGTACAGCCATGCTCTGATAGCTGACTTGTAGAACAAAGCCTGTATTAGAAATGGCCTCAAAAGGCAGTCAATTTAAGTTGACAGGGAAAAGTTGGATGCAGACAACACAAGACAACAGAGAATAAGAAAAGTTTTCACAAACCTTTTGGGCAAGGTAGAGGTGAATAAATGAATGAAGGGTCCAAGTCACTGGAAACTTGGAAATTACGGGCTTTCTTCATTGGACTTTTGGCAGAAATAAGAATATGGAGTAAGAAAGATCCTAACAGCAAAGATCCAGGAAAAGCAGACTGCATGTTCACAAACAACAGGTGTGGGTGGCATGAGGCTAAAGGGAATTACTTGATTAACTCTTTGATCTGATAATTATTTTTAAGGTCCTGGTGAACATAAATGGCAAAAAACTCCAGGGGTGAGAGGTATCATTAGTTAAAGTGAGAGCTATGCTAGATCTGCAGTCCTTAACTAAAGCAGTGTTGAGCTCAGGGCAGCCTGAGTCAGGTCGTGAAATAAACAGATCTGTGATTTGGGGTCAGGCCTGTGGGCTGCAGGAACCTTTCACATGGCCTGGCCTGCTCCAAGCAGCAGGTCTCTGTGCTGGCTCCTTCTGCACAGCTGGTGTAAGCGACTGTCATGGGGGCTGACAGAGTTCATGCTCCTTCACAAAGCTGCATGGTTGTTGCTTCAGCACTTGCCTGTGGTCTGGAAGTACACGCTGAGGTAATACTTGCTGTGATATGCTGTAGGATTCTTCCCACTTGATAAAGAGCAGGAAAATGACCCGCTCTGTGTGGGGACCAGTCACGGTGCTGTCTAACCATCAGCTTTGTTAGCATGCTTAGCCTGCATCTGTGCAAAGTAGATTTATAGCACTTTTGTACCTAAATTCAGTCTTGTAGCTGTATAAACTAGCCCAGGCTCAAAGCACCTCTAAATTTAGCTCATATGTTTTTCAGTGAGGCTACAGCTGAGGGAAGGGCTGCACTAAAGGCATGAGCTGAAAGCACCCCTTGGCCTGTAGTGCTTGGCCATCTGGAAAAACCTGCATCTCTTTACTTAGAAAAATAATTTAAACTAAGTATGTTAGTATGAGGATGATGAGAAGGTTACCTAAGCGCAATCACAGCACATGATTTACCAGGATAGGAATTGGTCAGATGGAGGAAGGGAGTAAAAGGAGAAGAGATTGCAGTGCTTTTGCTCCCACTGTCACTGTCCAACGCAGGAGTGCTTGCTTTCCTTCACATGGTGTGAGAGCATACCCCCTTCAGTCTGGAGCTGCAGCCAGCCTTGTTCAGTATCACAGAAAGACCTAACTTCACAACAGAGAGTACGGTTTGGGAACCTGCTCCAATGCCCTGTTACATCTGGTAACAATAAGTGGGTTAACGCATAAAGCTTCTTGGGTTTAAGTAAAGATATCAACTTGAATTTGATTAGAAATAACTTATTTTCAGGTCTGCTTGTTTCTGTACACATACTTTGCAGGGTATGCTTAGTAGAAACCAGAGCTAGAGTAGCTAACACACCAGCTGGGGGCCAGAATCAGAATAATTATGAGAAAGGTAACAATAGTCTGCAACCAAGACAAGGGACAGAATAGAGGAAACAGAAATACAGAGGGAGGGAGAGAGAAAAGAGATCCACATCAGGAAAAGGAGGAAGGCAATAGCGGATCAGTCGGTTTGCTCTGCAGTGACAAAATGTCATTGCACCATTTTGATCTCTAGATGCTTAACAACTTCCCAGTGGCGATGAGAATATTTGTTTCACAAATTGAGAAGATCAGAGTTTGATTTTCTAGGCTACCTTTCACAGATGCTAGCAGTGGTTCACAGACCACAGGAAGATTCATCGGACCAGACAGAAGTAAGGTAGAAGTCAAAATACAGAGAAGTATATACATGCAAAACTGTCTTAAGTGCTCAAGAGGCACATAAAGGAGTCAGCTAAAAATACCACCTTGTACTTGGTAGTACTGTGAGAGGTGGATGCTCAGCCAGAAGGGTGGTGACAACATAACAGTAACACGGTTACATTAGCACTGTCTGACTTTAGATTGTCACTGCATAATCACTGCCATATGTCTGCATGCTTCATAACATCAAGTTATAGATAACCTGAACCTGCTTGCCAAGCCAGACAAATGGTGGTTAATTCTACGAACGTAGGCAGAACGTTCTTTCCGCAGGGCAGTACCTCCCATGCAGAGTTGCTTGCCCTGCTTTCTTCCACTAGACTCTAGACAGCTGCCCTTTTTTACACCTACTTCCAAAGTTCATCATCCACAGACTTACTATGAAGATAGGAATTTTTTTTTAAGGTTGCTTTCAAACAATTTCTTTCTGAATATACGTGACTTGAAGCTTGATTCAGAAGCTTCAAGTGCCTCTGGACAGGCCAAAGATTAATCTAGGAGCTGCCCTATCCATGCAAAACAATTTAAGATTGATGAAGTGAATCACTTTTTCTGGACAGTGAGCATAGAAAGCTCCTCTGTGCTCAGAAATTAAATAGGAGACATTGAAAATGTTTTAGAGTTTTAAGATTAGTTTCACCAAATCATGCTAAGGACACCCATTCTGAGATACTGTTGTTGATTGTTACTCTTATCCTTCTACTAGCTGGCACCCAGAACATTGCCTGAGAGGGATCTAACAGTCTGATCCCACACCCCCTCTGAAAATTTCTCTTTAAAAGTTCTTTGTGTAATATCCTCAGCTGATGTAAACTGGCATTCCTCAGTACTCACTGACATTTATAGAGCTAGATCAATTTGCAGCTGCTTAGCACCTGGCCCAAAGATTTTTTATTTTTTAATCAGAAAGAAAGTCCCATTTATCCAGGGATCTCACTCTGGGACAGCAATACCATCCACAGATGTGTTTGCTCAGATTTCCATCAGGAGTCTTCATCCTGGATATTTTATTTGCATAACAATCATAAACCAGTCACATGCCTCATATAGCAGGACACTGCAAACAGGTGGGCATCGAAAGCTAAGTTGGTTCTTTAAGCTGTATCACATCATATATTGATTTAAAGATACACTTGTGCTTGCAGTCAGTTTTTAGTTTTATCAGTTTCTAGTCTAGCCTCGTTCTGTTTTAATTTAAATCATCAAGGCTGTAGATATGGGAGCAATCAAAGAGCGACCCGAAGGTTTTAGCAGCGCTGAGACCGAAAGGAATGCGACTGTAAAACGCACTGTTCTTCTTCCACTTGTCTGTCACTTACCTGTTTCTGCTCTAGAGGAAAAGAAAACCTCAGCAGAAACAGATGAAAGATTTGGGCATTTCAGATGCATTAGCACACTGAACAGAAAGAGAAGGAGATTTAGTAGGGTTTTTATTTTGGTTCCGTCGTCTTGTTTGGTTTCCTTTGATAAGCTGATGGTAAGTGAATGTGAAAAGCATAATTGTTCAACATCGGCCTTGTTCTAAAATAGCTCTATGAGAATGACAAATTTATGGTGTGAAACGAGAGGAATACAGAGAAGTGTTAAACCAAGAGGAACACCTAATTGATACCCTGTAAATGATTCTGCACTACTGATAACTGTGTTTGTTAGCACTGATGTTTATATTTAGGAAGGCATGCTGAAAATGTGCCTTCCTCTTCCCCAGCAAAGCCCACCTCACTGGAAAAAAATCAGGGTTTTCATCTGATACACTATTCAAGGACAAGAATAAGCAGAAAATATTTCTCATCCTTAACCTGGCAATGCCTTTTGGTGACTGACCTAAATTCTGTGTACCTGCGGGGCTAATGAGTGAGAAGGAGGCATTCACTGACCAGGGAGAAAGGGATTAGGGAACAGGAAATTTGCTGAATATATGAATTTATGGTGTGCTCTGCACTTTTGCATGTTTAAATGTGAAGTGCAAGCAGCAAAACCAGGATTTATGAATCTCAGCCTAAATGACTGCGGAAATCTTCAAGAATCCTTACAGGAGTATCTACACCTGAAATATTGTCATCTCTTTGGTGAAAATACACTAGTGATGATAAACAACAGCCAGTACACACTGCAGCTTTAATAAGCTAAAACGCCATGAGGAGTAACGCTGCAGTAAGAGTTACGTGAGCTGTTTTCCTCCTGAAAATTTTGGGGGCCACATTTTCAATTGATCTGCTTGCTTAACTTTGACAGTTTTGTGCTCTGCTGTTCAGAGGCAAGTTCGTGTACTGCAGATATCATGTTACCTAAATTACATGTAATTTTATGGAAATAGATGGGCAGCAGCAAAACTCATTTACTTGTGAGTGTGCTTTCCTGGTCTCCTTCAGGCAAGTGTAATACACGTGCACGTGCAATGAACAGCGCACACCATGAAGCCACAAAGAGTCCATAGAATAAATGTTGGTTTTCCTCACTGTTTTTCCAGAGATGCACGTAAAAGGTGAGTACATTTATATTAATGGCTGCACCTGCATAAAATAATTCTTTGCTAACATGTGTCATTTTGCATAATTATAGCAGCTGGTACATCTAGTCCAGACTGCAAATGAATATGATTGCAACAGAAAAGGCAGCCTTTATTTGTTAAACAGGTGGGAGGGAGGGGCAGGAGGAAGAGACTTTTAAAATAAAAAGAATGGTAAGGATTTTTTCTTTTCTTATCACTATTTCAAAAAGTAAGAGCAGAATAACTAATTTCTTAGCGCTCACAAGAGTTTTATCTCATAGATACAATGTAAAACTCATCCCACTGAAGAATTTGGAGAGGCATATATAACAAAACATATCTGATATGTATGTACAGCTCTCTATAGTAACATTACAAACTCTCTCAAAGTATAAATGAATTTGGATCCAGTGTTAGTCCCAAGTAGATGATTTGCACAGGCAGTAAGAAGATATATATATAAACAAGATATATATGTTTCTTAAACAGGCAGCTAACACTGTTTTCATGTGTTCCAAGGTATTTATCAGGCTTATACCAAGGTATGTATCAGGCTTATACCACAGCCATTTCTGTAATTGTAACACTATTTAAATCTAGGTATTGAGCTATCTCCTTCTCCGATGGACACATGCAAAAGGAACAAAACACACTTTGAAAGGTGGATGAACAGTAGCAGGTCATTTAGTCCAGCCCTTGCTGACTTTTAAACATCTGCATCGGCAACATACCACACGCTGTAAGAGCAAAACAAGGTTCTCTTCTACCTTGTACGAAGCTGTAATCTATTAAACCATTTGGCTGTGAGAAGGTTTAGGTGCATACTTGTGCTTTAATCCCCCTTACCTACAGGAATGGTCATTCCATGGATTTTGTCTGCCCAACCGGCATAATACCTCAGGGTTTTTATGACTCCCTGAAGATCTACATAGAAAGCTTGCAAGAAAGGTTTGCCACTGTTCAGTGATTCCATAGTCTAGAGGACAAGAAAAAGTTAGTGAGATATAAGCACAGCAGCATTTTTAGACTATTGTACTTAAGCATTCACTGTTGTAACAGCTCTTCACTTATGACAAAGATTTTAATGAAGATCAACCAGTTATGCCTTGGCATAGTCATAACTCAGAAGGTTCAGAACAACTACATGCTCCCCTTTGTTACTTCTTTCTGCAAATGTGAGCAAAAAGCATTTTCCTTATAAAAAAACAACTCTCATTCTTTCTGGAGTATTCTGGAATTACTATGATTTTAAGACTGTGTGCATGCATGTGTGTGTGTGTGTGTGTGTCTGTCTGTCTGTCTGTCTTGTGGGTTTGTGTGTGTATCCACATGCATGTACATATGCCTGTGTGTATTTTGGACCTAATAGCCACTGTGTTTGGGCCAGATGTATAAATGCTAAATTGCTTTAATCAGGAGCCAAGATAAAAATGCCTGTCAAACTGGGTTCTGTTATGTTAATGATAACAGCTGAGAAGGGGCTCCTTGTAACCCCGTATTAATGATCTGAATCCATAAAGAGAAGAATGGACATATCCCTCTTTATATAATTGATGTGAATATAAAAATTTCTCTATATGGTTGCCAAGACTCCTGCTGAGGTCTGAGATATCTATACTGTACAGCCAGTTTATTTATTGCCATCAAATAAACAAACTCTCCTCTAGGGAAGCTCATAAATTAACAAGCTAATGTCCTTATTTTTAAGTCAATATTCTTATTTTTAAAAGTATCTTATAAGCTATCCTCTTAGGGGTTCCTAAGATCATTTAGCAAAAAGAATCCAATAAAATATCCTAAGATGTTGAGCAGCTTAACTCGGTCTCAATAGCTGTCTCATAGAAATCGTTAAGAATGGGCAAAGTACGCCCATGTGTAACACACTAACCATCAAATGAGTTTCTATAGAGAAGAATGGAGGCCTAATTCTGCACTGACTTATATCCCCAAGAGCAATTAATGGCATTGCCTGCGGTGCAATTCAGTAAAGAACTTGGCTTTAGAAATAAAAATCAAATGACAGGCAGAGTAAACTTGATTTGCTGTGCACTTCCTTCTCCCTGTGGCGATTTTACAGTATACACTGTGGTAAGATGATTTAAGTGTTGACAAAGCTGGAATTAAGATGTTCACTAGCTTAGTTCAAAGCACTTGACATGCGGAAAACAACATTAACAATGCCACCGTTTAGATGGCTTTATATGTGAGTGAAATAGTGCAATACCCAGAATCCATGTTACCAGTTGAGTGTCAATAAGCATTTCACTTGCTATTTCATTAATATCTGCACAAGACGCTTCACTCAGTCTTCCACTTTTTGTTTTAGAAAAGTTAGAAGTGCACATAACAGGCATACATGCATGTGCACACCCATTAGTTTTTCTGATGTACGATTTAAAGCTCATTGGAGTCAACTGGAAGACTTGGTGACTTTTATAAGCTTTGGATCAGGTCTGAAGCAGACAGTCTTTGCCACCAAGCTGGGTGTACTTTTCAAATATAATTCATATTAACACAGTTATGAACTAATTTGCTCTCAGAACGTAAAACTGATGGGTGACGTGACTGTTATTTTCATGTGTCACTTACAGCAAGAATCGCCCTGTCTCTCTCAACCAACATACATGCGTGTGCACACCCATTAGTTTTTCTGATGTACGGGTTTAAAGCTCATTGGAGTCAACTGGAAGACTTGGTGACTTTTATAAGCTTTGGATCAGGTCTGAAGCAGACAGTCTTTGCCACCAAGCTGGGTGTACTTTTCAAATATAATTCATATTAACACAGTTATGAACTAATTTGCTCTCAGAACGTAAAACTGATGGGTGACGTGACTGTTATTTTCATGTGTCACTTACAGCAAGAATCGCCCTGTCTCTCTCAACCAAGTCTGCCAGCTTATCCAGGAGATGGCCTCTTTCCGATGCATCCATTCTCCTCCAAACTGAGCCCAGAGAAAAAGCAAGGCGAGCTGCCCTCACCGCTTTGTCTGTATCAACCTGTCAAGAAGGAAGAAAAAAACCAAAGGCATTGAGGTAAATGACATGACCAGGCTTATGAAATTTACTGTTGTACAACTTAAGTCACAATGATGGGTTTTGGAACTGTGATTAATGAAAGAACTGTCCAACAGTGCTATTCTGGACCTGTTGCTTTGACCTGTTTATAGATTTCTACCCATCTACAGGATGCATTACCTTGTCAGCTTCCTGGATCTCACAGATCTGCTCTCCTGTTGCTGGATTATGTACTGGGAATATTCTCCCACTTTCAGAATTTTGCCACTCATTATTGATGAAAATCTATAAAAGGAAGAAAATTTATCAGTCCTCCTGCATGAACAAACAGTAATGTATATAACGACAAACTCCGGGGAGAGGCTGCAGATTCTGATACAAAAGAGTTGCAATTTAGTTATGCCTGTGAACATTACAGTTTTCAAGAGTTCAGGCTAAGGGCCAGCCCCTGGTATCTTTCTGTATTCTGTGGCAGTGTCACTACAGAAGCAACATCAAACTCTAAATAACTTGGTTAACAGTCAAATTTGGTTCAAAAACTGTAACAAACTAAATAAAGTAATACCTGTATCAGAGAAAAAGCCTTGAAATTGCTGGAGACAAGACAAGGATTTGGAGTAATCATTCAATTCAGTAAGTAAACATTTGGTCACTGATACAACCCAGTCAGCGCTGAATAATCTCAAACATCACAGTTGATTATGGCTACAGTGATGGCTTGCAGCACAGAATTAACTTGCTTATCTGCTTGGAACAATGGATATTGTTAAATTATCTCAGTGTTGACATAATTTTAATTGTCATGGGCAAACCAGATTTGAATGTCAATGGTGCCGACAACAGCTCTCTTGAAAAAGAGTTTGTTTAAAGTAGATTTTTACTGGTAGCTGCATACATGCCAGTTACTTTCTACTGAATAACTGTCAAGAACAGGATGCAGTTATTTATTAACAAATATGATGGAAGTCACTCTAGGAAAATGAGCGAATGAAAGGTTTTCCAGGTGTTCAGACTCTTCCTGTCCTCAAAATCTTTCTAAGAGTGAAAGTGTTCAGAAAGTCCAGGCACCATGTGGGTTCCTTGCAGTTCAAGTATCAATGTTCTTTCATTGCATTCCATGAAATACAACTTTAAATGTATAAGGGGACAACTATAAATGTATAAAGGGACGTTCTGGCCTCATTGAAATCAATGGGAATTTTACCACCTACTTCATTGGAGGCAGGAGTTCACCCCTAGGCAGAAGGAATGTTCACCACCCCTTTTTACATGAGAAGCTGTGTTTCTAGAGACAGGGGCCTTTCTCTGGTGAAAGCAAAGCAAAGCCCCATACCCCATACAGATCCTATGACCGTGGATGAGTAGAAAGCCAAGAGACCCTTTGAAAGATTCAGAAGTCTCAGTTCCAGTCACAGATACTCAGGTGGGAGAAACTGGCCTATATATATTTTAGATCATGGCTACAGAGCAGCAATGAGTGATGTATTACACATCAGTCCAGTTTCCTCACAGAACCACCACAGACACTGGGACAACAATCTGTCCCACTGATTAGGCAGACTAAACATCACAGACAGCTTGTCCAGAGTAGTACTTTGCCACTTCTTAAATCTTGCACTTTTAGTTGTCTTGCTACAATGCCATAAAGCTGTTACCTTCATTCTGGTACATGGCTCAGGGCAGCCAGATGAGCTCAGGGAGACGATAGAAGACAGTTTATATGTAAGGACTTCACTTAAATGGTGTTAGGTCGTTGGTTCCTTTTTTGTTTGCTTTCTTTATAGCAAAATTTGATGTAGCAAAACCAGGACCAAAAAAAAAATTACATGTTTTTCATGTGGAAATGAATGGACTGTAATACCTGTCTTTTCTACTCAAAGCATAGTATGGTATTATTATAGATCAGCTGCTTTTAGGCTTGGAATAGTACAATGAGGATACCTGCACCAGCCTGCCAACTATAGAGTTTAAAACTTAGTCTAACTTAAGTGTTTACAACTTGTCTGATGGCAAGAAAAGCATCAGCATCAAAATGCTGCTTGTTTAAGGAAAGGGGATCACAAAAGCTGTAATGTACCTGGAAGGAAGGAAACAAGTAGAGAGAGCAAGTCATAAATTGATGAGAAGAGACTGAGATGGGAAAAAAATCCCAACGCTATTCTAGCAAAAAAAAGCAGCCAAGAGAAAATAGAGTCAGAAGGCTCAAGATGAACAGTTGTAACACCAAAGGGTATAAAGTGTCTGCAAAACAAAAGAACACGGTGAGGGCACCAGTGTGCCTGTGCATTTTAAAGAACATAAAGAAACTGCACACTCACATTTGCACATGAAGGCGAAGATGCATCTGTAAAGTTTTCTGTTACCAGACATGAGCTTGCTCAACCTACTCTCCAAGCCAAATGGAAGCCATGTAGCTTTGTTCTTCTCAGCAGGGCTTATTAGCTCGGGCTCAGTGCCATACTAACTACAGTGACATGGCTTCTAGTTCAGAGCTGACTCATATCTGGCTGACTGAAGACATGGGCAAAAGGAACCCGTGCCTGCCTGGAACAGACCTTAGCGATATAATGACTGGCAACAGAAATCAACTATTACATGTGCTTCTGCATTTATAGATGTGTTTCTACTGTGTTTCCTCATCTTTCCTGTGTCTCTAGGCTCAGCCACTCTGCTGTGTGCCCTTCCATCCATTTCAGATTCTGTCCTTTCTTCACCTTGCCCTCCTTTTTGTTTTGGTTTTCAAAGGTAGCTGAGCCCAGGACCTACTGCGCACCATTACCCATCTACCGCTTGCTCCTGAACCCGTTCATGGCCTTGAACTGTAAGCTCCTCAGACCATGGAGGTGTCTTCCCGTTCAGAGATTACACTGCTTTGCAAACGGAAGGACTGGTCCCTGTTAGGACATTTTGGAGCAAACCCAGCCAAAATAAGATAATGAAAGAATCAGCAGTATGATCTCTCATGACTAACACCGTAAGCCAAAATCCTCTGGTGTATCACTGTCACTTTTTAGACTGTCAGTGAAACAAAGAAACACTGAGATCTGTGACCTGTGTGAAAGAAGGATTTTACTGTCATCCTTTCCATTGAGTTTGGTGGAATTAACTCCACACTCAAGAGTTTGTGGGGGTGCACTGAGGAGGGAGGGGAAGGGAGAAAAGCTTGCAGCATCAGGAGCAGAGATGGCCAAAGGAGATGTAAGGATGTTTGTTTAAGGTTACAGTGTGTACATAAACACACAGCTCGTGTGAGCTGTCTTCAAAGAATAAAACAGTTGAGTACAAGAACCTGAGAAGTGGTGGCAACTGCAGTTCAGTACTCTTCCCTTATAGAAGTGGTCTGTTGTTTTTTAAAACGATTTAAAAATGTTCACTACATTCTGCTGGGACAAACACCTATCATCACGTTTACTAGTACACAGGACTCATATTTGTTCTTAAAATACATTTCACCATAGGAATAAGAGTGCCTTAGAATTACAAAAGAGTGTTGGCTGGAACTATAAGGTGTGTTATTCTCTCGAATGGCCCATTTATCTCACAGATTTAGACAAAGAATAGTAATAGCAAATACTTCAGATAGGACATGGGAAGGATCTATTTGGCATAAAGTTAGAGCTGAAGGCAAGAGAAATTGCTACTGTTAATGGTTAATGTTAGTTTCTTCCTGTTCCACTTTCTATAAACAAGGTATTGCCTATACAAGCTCATTACTGTAAACTGAGCACATTTAAATTGGCAGTAAAATCAGAGTATTTACTCTAGTGCACAAATAAAGTACCTAGCTCCATGTTTTGGAACAGTTTCAAGTCTTGAAATCCAGCAGCTGGCGGCTTTACAAGCAAAACGTTACACTTAAATAATTCACTTTTGAAAGTTTTAGGTGTTCTGTGTCAGATAGTACCATTCAGCAGATATTCCTACCACCAAGACGCAGATTCTTTTGCAATAAATTTGCATTCACAGGGGCTTTTATAACTCTTCCAGCACTACTGACTCCAATGGCTGTTGATTAAACATATATATCCTGTACATTTAATCTGACTTTCATTATGGCCACTTCATAAAAATGCCATGAAATGGACAAGCGATGACACATTGCAAGAACAAGGAATCCCTGCAAAGCCTCAAATTGGGTTTTTTTCTGCCTTATTTATAGTGACCATGGTAAAGGCTAACTCTAAATCAGGGAGAATATTTGACAGCAAATGTTCCTATCTATGGATTATATATAACCCATCCTAAACACCAGATGTTTACCAGGGGTAACCCTAGAAAAAAGAAGGGCTTGCTTCCATGTAAATCATGCTACAAATTGGACAACACCCAGTGAGTTCATTGTTCAACCTCAATTGTGAAGGCTATTCACGTTTACTATTCCCCTGGAATCAATGTTAATTAAGGCTGACTGAGGCTATAAATCAGTCTTTGGTTTTTACAACTTAATTCAGTATTAAGCATATATATGTAAATAAAAGGTAACTGATTAACCACTTGAGTTTTCCAGGAGTTACTGAGGTAATTTGTTTTTGTTTGACTCCTAGTGTTAGCTTTTGTGATTTGCAGTAAAGAAAAAGTATATAGTATGTCATGTATTTGCTGCGTGGTATTGTGAGTAGTTAAATAATCCGGCCTGTTGGATGCTATCAACAGAACGGTGCCAAAATGGAAAGGAAAGAAGGGACTACTTGAAAAATTTTGGAACACATGAACTTGTAGTTTGCCATTTACTCTCAGTAGAGCAAATAACTGCAGTAATGTCAGAGCAGAAAGAGAAAAGGCAAACCTTCCTTTTCACTTAGGTGTCCCTGCCACCACAGTGGTTTGGACACGAACAAACCCAAGTGGCAAAACACCCTGTGTCCCTTGCAAGTGAGGAATCTGGCTGTACAGTGGTCTAATGACAAAACTGAATACTATTTGTTCACCAGGAACAGCACCTAAGGCAATATGCTGAACTGGGCAGCAGCTGAGGTAGCGGGGGTGTGGGGGGGCAGTGTGTGGGGAAGTTTCAAACAGGACTTACAGTGTAATAGGTGTGGTTGGAAGCTCCTGTTTGCCCCGTGAACATGCCCTTGAAGTGTCATTATTCTCGTGAGATTTGATCGTAAGGGTCTCAGGAGAATTTCTGTTCCTTTCCAATTAAAAGATGGAGAGGGCATGGCATTGTCCTAGAATAGGCACGTCCCTCCTGCTACTGACAATAACTTCTTCCTCACACACACATGTGCTCATAGACCTCCTGATAGAACTTTGCAAGATAATGGTCCCACCATGCATTTACT